CCTTTGAAGAGATCGGATGCCAACTTCTGTATGGCCGACGCCATCGTGGACTTCCGAGCCTCCAACTCTTTGGCATCCTCGTCAATGAACTCGAACTCCCCCACGTCACGCGTGACGTCCAGCAAGGAATCCAGATTGAAGACGGTCGCAAAATCCACCTTACCATCAACAAAATCTGTGATGTCCGCCTGCCTGGGCGGGGCAGTCCCCGACTTGGGCAGCGCTGAAGCTGCCAGCTGCTGTACACACTCCTGGTACTGCTTGTCGGCGGCCTGACGCTCCTCGCGGCAAGCCAGGACCAGGGACTTTTGCTCCTCCAACTCAGCTCGCCAGCGCGTGAGCTTAGCAAACTCCTGTTCCAGGCGCCGTTCCTTCCTCCGAACATCGGCGGCCAGCTGCTGCGAGCGCTGGTGGAGAGGCACCTCGGTCTTGGGCGCCGCCAACGACTTGGCCACCTGATCGTAGTACGTTTGCGGCCGCACTGTCCCCAGCCTTGCGCGAGAGTTCAGACAGTGTGCGGGCCTCCTGCTCGGTGGTGTCAGGCACAAGTCCTGCTGGCAGAGGGGACCGCGGATCGCCAACACCACCCACTGGAGCCATGGAGGATGATTTGCCCTGGCCACCGCCAGACCGCTTGCCCTTGCCCAGGCCTGCTGGTTGAGCCCAAACGCCTCGTGGAACGGGAGGATCGGAAGCTGGGACATCGACGAGCGTACATTTGCAGTGCCTGCGCCACTTGAAGTGCATGAAATTCTTCCGATATCCGCAGACTGAGCACGGAACTGGAGAGAATTTACCTCCGCGACCACGTCCTTTGGTGAACCAGTCCCCTTCCTCCTGAGAGCTATCCTCGAGCAGCACCCAAGGCTGGCGAGAGAAAAAAGGAGCAAGAACCACCGTGCCTGGCAAGGAATGTAGCGTACACGGAACGTTCTGCTAGATAGTGTGCCTGGCGGGCGAACGCCAGGAATCAAGGTGGGCAGACACCTGAAAGCACTGGGAGCCGCCAATTCCCCTCACCGAGGCGCAAAACCTGATCAAATGCCTCCGGACTTGAGCCAAAATGGCTACGGACTCCTCCTCCTCCTCCTCCTCCTCCTCCTCCTCCTCCTCCTCCTCCTCCTCCTCCTGCTCCTCCTCCTCCTCCTTCTCCTCCTCTCCCCTCCCTCTTTCCCCCTCCCCCTCCCCTCCTCCCCCTCCCCTCCTCCTCCTCCTTCCTCCTCCTCCTCCTCCTCCTCCTCCTCCTCCTCCTCCTCCTCCTCCTCCTCCTCCTCCTCCTCCTCCTCCTCCTCCTCCTCCTCCTCCTCTGGAGGTCTCTGGATCTGATTCTTCATGGTAAGGCTGATAAAGGCCTTTCTCGGCATAAGCGGAACCTCGTTCGCAGTTTGGTCTCGGGCACCCATTGGCCTCAGGCGAGGTTGGCCAAGTATCAAAAATCGGTGACTGACAAGTGCCTTTTGTGCGGCTGCAGGGGCACGTTGTTCCACCGAGCGTTTGACTGTCCCTGCTCGGCCGAGCTTCGCAGGAATCAACTACCCGTCAGCCTAAGACAGGCTGCCTGGAAGGTTGCCAGTCTTGGGGAGGAGGAGACGGAGCTGTTTTCCATGTGTCTTTTCCCCAACCCCGAGCGCTGTTTTGGAAAGCCAGAAGCTCCCGAGGAGGATTGGGTTCGCTTTGTCGGTGCTTAACTATGGATGGATCAGCGTTTCACACGAAGTTCGGAGCCTGCAGGAGAGCAGGATGGTCCACCGTTCAAGTAGACGATGGTTCCTCGGGGGTGGGGGCCTGGCCAATGGGCGCGGGACGGGGAGGACTACGCGTTTCACATGCTGGCCAGGTTTAGTGAACCCCCGTGTGACGGCGATGACGGAGTGCAGCTTGAAGTTGTCAGTGATTGTGCTGGTTCGGTGGCGTGCGCCACATATTCGTCCACAGCCCTGTCTCCTGACAACAGTCCTCGTCACGTGGAGGCTGTGGTGGTCCAGAGTAGGTGGCACAGCCGAAGTAGTCAAGGTGAAGGCCCACCGTGCTCTGCAAAACCACGTCGTTGGAGGAACTGTGGATTCTGAAGGGCAATCGTCTCGCGGACAAGTGGGCCGTGCAGGGGCTCAGCTTTGGCGAATTGATGAGGAGGGGGAGCTTTTTGTAGAGGGCTGTGAGCGCAGAGTGGCCCAGGCCGCTGAGTGGCTTGGTCGCCTCCACAGCTGGAGACATGATAAGGAGTTTGGGGATTCGGAGGGGGTGGGTGGGACTGCGGAGGTGGAGCTCGACCTGCCATGGCAGGTTCCGCCTGACCTCGCCGATGAGTACGACGCGCGGCTGGAGCAGCGCCACGGGGAGCGGCTCTTCGAGGCAGTGCCCGAGCGCCTCTATCCTGAGGGTAGTCAAGGCTCGGCTGGCTCGGGTTCCGCTGCTCTCGGCTCCTCCATTGGCTCCTCGGCTACTCCTCCCGACCTGGTGCCCCAAGCCTCGGGGTGTCTGCGGGTGAGCTGCCAGACCTGGAACTTTTCCAGGCACAATGTGGTCCAGGCCCCCGTTGTCGGTGATGAGTCGGGGGTCCCAGTGTTGTTTTGCATCTCGTGCGTTGCAAGCGTGCAGCATAGTCACAGGCCTGGGAAAGGACTTGCGGTGCCCTGTTTAGGCCCGAAGCACCCAGGTCTTGCGACCCAGCGCTCCAGGCTTCGGCGAAGCCTGCACCCTAATCCGACGGTGTCCCCTCCTCCGATGCTCGGCGATTGTGGCGAGCCGTCTGTGGAGGTCCGAGCGTCGTGGGAAGGGAGGCCGATTACTTCGGAGGCCTCGGAGCGGTGTGCTGACCCTGTCCCAGAGTATGGGTTGGATTTCCCCGAGTCCCTCGACATGTATCGTGTAGACCAGCTCCACGGCTTTAGTGACCCCCCGCGAGGCGGTTATGGTTTGCCATGCAGAAGGGACTCTTGAAGGTGAGGCTCGACTCCTGGCTGGTGGGAGTGATGAGCCTCAGTAATCGGGTCGCAGGATGCGAGGGACAGAGGTCTAAGGTCCTGACGCCCTACCGCCCGCATCCTCCTCCTCCGCCTCCTCCTCCTCTTCCTCCTCCTCCTCCTGCTCCTCCTCCTCCTGGGGACTTCTCGTGGCCACGGCTGGATTCGACTCGAGACTTGGGTCATAATGCACCCTAGGAAAGCTTCGGCTTTGTAGGCGTTTTCTTATTCCGCGGTTCGACATTGCGCGGAAGGGAAACGGGGGAGAGGGGGGGTCTGGCTCCAGACCTCTGCTTAACGCGACTGTTTGGAAGCGTGCGTCCCCTGGTGGAGACTCCACCTGCTTGAAACAGGCGCCAAAAACAGCCAAGACCTACTCCATGGGGGGGAGGGGGGGGGTGCGAAGGTCCGCGCCGATCGGCAAAACAAGTGATCAGAAACCGATCACGTTGCGTCCCAAATCTTTTTGTTGTCGGTCCTGGGGCCTGGCAAGGGCCGTGGGGCCGAAAGTGAGCAAACAGCTCCGATCGTGAGTCCGTCGCGACGCGAGGATGCCAGGGGAAGAGGACGGAGGAGCACAAGCGGTCCCAGGAGGGGGGGGGGCCTAGGCTGCATCCTGGGTCGGTTTCGACAGTGCCTGGGGCCCGTGGTGAGGGCCGTGAGGACCCCCAGGTGCCCAAAGTGGTCAAAAACCTCCAGTCGCGCTTCTTTCACGACGCGGGGGTGTCCAGGAAGGGAGGGAGGAAGGAGCCACGACGGACCGTGCAGCAGGAGCAGGCCTCGTCTGCATCCTGGGCGGCTCGCCGAACGCGGGCGGGTACTGCACGCGGCCTCGGTCGCGCGCCCAGCGGCGCGGTCGCCGCGCCCGCGCGTGCGGGCGCGCGCGCGCGCGGCCGTCAGGCGGGGAGGAGGCTCGAGGCTCGGGGTTCGGGGAGCCAGTAGCTAGGGGACAACGTCAGGGGGGGACCGCCCCAGCGGGTCGGGGTGGGAGACGTCGGGCCAGAATCGGCGATACGTCGCCGATGGCAGGTCGACGATAGGCCCCCCGCCAGCGAACCCCCGCACGCTCGTGGGCGGGCTGTGCCGCCGGGCCCCCATCGGCGATCCATCTGCGATCGGGGGTCGAGGCATCCCCCCGAGAGCCCATCTCTCTGACGTCGCCCCCGAGGAGAGGAGCTTCGCGGATCGAGCAGCCAGCAGCGAGGATCGAGGGCCACCTCGACCGAGCCTCGAGCAGCGAGGGCTGTGGATCGAGGGTCGCATCGTTAGAGAGCCCGGGGGCCAGCAGCGAGGAACGATGATCACTCCGCCCGAGGGTCGAGGACCGAGACCCCGTGGACCGAGAGTCGCCCCGCCCGAAGGGGTCGAAAAGGCAAGACAGGGGGGGCGGGAGAGGGGCTAAGGAGGAGGAGGAGGAGGAGGAGGAGGAGGAGGAGGAGGAAAAGGAGGATGAGGAGGAGGAGGAGGGGAGAAAGGGGGAGGTGCGAGGGAGGAGAGGAGGAGAAGAGGAGGAGGAGGAGGAGGGAGAGGAGAAGGACGAGGGAGGAGGAGGAAAGGGAGGAGGAAGAGGA